TTGAAAATTGATAATAAAATAGAAGTAATTATGCAACATGTTTCAGTTATAGGACCAAAATAAGTTGGAGATTTTATACACCTGAAATACTTATACGCTCTTTTGTATATTTTTTAACATCAAGGGCATTATATAATTGCTTAAAAAATAATTATCAACTTCCATCTATTTTAACACTGACTCGAATTACTTCAAAAATTTCTAATATTAATGAAAACAATTTTATTTATTCAATTTTTAACTCTATTCCGGATAAGCAGAAATTATGTATAATACTACATGATAAAATAAATGTCAAAATGGTTTGCTTTACCATAGTGGAACTATTTTTGGTAGATCGGAGGATAACCCAGTGGAATTATCCAATACATTGTTAGGGATTATGGCTGATTGTTTAAATGGGGGTCCAAAGGTGTTAGTTAAAATGATACCAATATCAAAATTACGATCTGATTTTGTGTTTGAACAGATTAATTTAACTAGTCAAATAATTGATTCAGTCAGTGCAAATGTAAAAGCTATTATATGTTATGGGAATCGTGTCAAACAGGCTATTTTTAAAATATACACAATTTTTCCGGGAAAACCATGGCTAACAGGAGATGGAAAGTATTTACTTTATGACTTTATGATTTTGTACACCTTATAAAAATATTCGTAATCTTTGGTTAACTGAAAAAACTCAGGAATTAATATTTGACGATAACGGAGTAACCAGGATTGCAAAATAGACTCATTTAAAGCAACTTTAGAATTCTGGTCATCAATGTGCGTAATGCGATTACAAATTGTTTGAAGACTGCTGCGAAATTCTTGATAACTTGCAAGATCTAGAATCTTCTATTGCGGATGCTGTCAAAATGTCACTTATTCACATTGCTGGTTGTGTTACACGAAATGATAAAAAACGAACTGATTATGAACTTTGAGATTAAACAACGTTCTATTATCAGAAATATGGTCAGTTTTCTAAATTTTTGGATTGTGGTGGATTAAAAATTCCAACTGATAATTAGTGCCAATTGACATTTTTTTGTTTTGTAGTTTTTCAAATAGTTAAAGATCAGGTATGCAGAAAATCTTTAAGTGGTATTTTTATGATTATATCAGACTATTATTTATTGGATATAGAAGAACATCATTGTGTAATATTGAGCAACATTTAAAAAAAAAATTTATGTACCACTGTCACTCCAAGATCTGGCAAAGAACCTGCTCTAAAATTATTAAAAATCTCTTAAAAGTCTATTTAGTTGACTACTGTTTATAATATATTTAGTATACTTTTTTATAAAATATTTATAAAAGTTTCATGTATTAGTTTTTTTTTTTCAGATTTTGTTAACAATTTTAATCAAAATTTATTTAATACTTTTTGTTTGTTTTAATAACATTTCTACTCAATATAAGAAAATATCAGTTTCGTATTTAGCTTTAAAAGCCAAAACTAAAGGTGAAATAATATTATTATGTAAATGTGTGAAAATTGAAATTAGAAAAAATTTCTTTGCCTTTTATTTACATTGTTTATTACTTAATATTAAATTTCTTTTTTCATCAAAAAAAATTATTAGGCTATACAGAGAATTAAAATTACGTTTTAGTTTTAAAATTACGAAGTTGTTTTCTTTTTTGCCGTAAAAGGGAAGGCCTGCACAAAAAAATCCGTTTGCGCGATGAAAAAGCCTGTAGTAGAGAATACTATGTTAAAAACCGAAACTTGCGCCACGGAAATAAATTTATGGGGAAATAAATTTGTACGACACCCATTCGCAGTTCGCGGTTCGCAGTTCGCATTTTACCTAGTACCTTCCCGCTAAAAAATGTAGCGTTGATTTGATGTTGATTCGATATATATATATATAATATATATATATATATATATATATATATATATATATATATATATATATATATATATATATATATATATATATATATATATGTATATATATATATATATATATATATATATATATATATATATATATATTTATATATATATTTCGTAAATTGTAAAAAAATTAGGCATTGTGTTAGTAAGAAAGTTTTTTATTTAATTTAACACAAAATTTACAATTTCAAACAACTTATTTAGCGTTTGAAGCATTGTTCATTTTTATAACTTTTCGATAGAGTCGTGTTCCTGATTGTCTTAAAAATTCTGAAACGCTTGAATGACAATCGCAAATTTTTGCATCATGATGCTGTCGTGTAATCGCATCTAAATCAAAAGTTAAAATCAAATTTGATTTTAACTTTTAATTTAGATGCGATAAATTGAAACGCAGAAATTATAGCAAATAGTTGCCTTAAGACCAACTGGGATAAACAAAATATATTACCTGTAAAAAAAAATCTAAAAAAAAACGCAAAAAACCATTCTTACCCACTACCATATGATACAGGGTGTATGTTTTAAAATCTGTTTTCAATGAACCACAAGAGTCATTAAAACAGGCCCCAGCGTCTTCGCTCATTAACAACTTTTATTAGCAAAATAGCAAAAGTCGATTTATATGGAGTGTTACCTCCACAACGACTAAGAGAAGTCATCTATTATTAAAAAAATAAAAAATACTCAAGAGTCGTTCGCAAAATACGTCACACATTTCGGGGAACGGTGGTCATTGATTTTGTCTCACTTTGAGTGGGAAGAAGGCAAATAATTTGTGACCTCACAATTAATTTTAAAAACTGCATAAAATAAAATTACATACTTTTGCGACTTTTTAAAATAAACAAATAATTGCTTAACAAAAACACACAAAAATTTAGTGACGTGACAAGGAGAAGAAATTTAATAACTTGTGACACTTTCTGACTAAGGAGGGGGGGGGGAGGGGAGAGAGGGGGTATAAAAGTTGTATTGCGTGACGTTATATGCAAAGGAACCCTTATGTTTTATTTAAAATAAAAAATATATATATAACATTGAAACTTATACTATTAACTTTCATTTCATAACAATTATGTTGTTATCAGCAGCAACTCACCACTTTACTCCTAAAAATATTGCTAGCCTTGACTTTTTCTTCTAGTAAATCCACATCAGATTTTGTAAGGCATCTTTCAAAAATGGGTTTTGTAGATATAGAATTAGCGCTCACTGTTGATGTAGGCTGCTGAAGCAATAACTTATCTATCTACAAAATATAAAAAAATCTTGAATTACTTATTTTTAACATCACACAACAAATTCAAAGCTCCTGTAACTCCAAAATTTAACCATTGAATAGATTATCGAATCAATTATACTATATATTTGCAAAACAAATTGAATCTTGAATCTTAAAATAGCACGATTTTTAAACTAATCTTTTTTTTTAAATAAGATGTCACTGTATGAGATTGGAGACTTAGGGTAAGTATTTACTGCTGCCCCTCTATTATAAGACCTTACTTTATAAATTGCAGTATAGTAATCAATCATTGTCATATAAAATTATTATCAAAATTATCATAATATTTTACAGAATAAAATATCCAATTCAATCTTTATGAATGAAATTATCTTGAGTTCAATACATAGAGTTTTAAAATTGATTCTTGAATCACTTTTCTGACTTGATTCAAAATTTCGAGAATTTATGGTGGGCCTTATGTAATTCTTGATATTAAAATAAAAGGCAACAGTAGTACCTTTTTACCTATTTTTGCCATCCAATTTAACACAACTTTTTGAAAATCTTAAAAAAAAAGTAATGAAATAAATAATATTTATTATTATGTAAAATATTTTGTAAAATCCTACCATTTATTCTTGTCACGATAAGAAGGCAACTCCCTCTGATTGCTTGCAGGGGGCATCTGAGCTCGAAGAGGATCTCACTTCTGCTACATGGGGCTCGCAGTGGCTGGTGAACTTTAATTCAGATAAAACTCAATTTTTTTCGGCCAATCGTTATCGCAATAATTTAGACTTTCCTATATTTATGAACGGTAATGTACTCGATGAGTCTCCTACCCTTCATCTTCTAGGATTAACTCTTACTTCTGATCTTTCTTGGAAACCTTATATCAAATCTGTTGCAAAATTAGCATCTGCTAAAGTTGCTTCTCTTTATCAAGCTCGTCACTTTCTTACTCTGGATTCTATTCTCCATCTCTATAAATCTCAAATCCGGCCTTGTATGGAATACTGTAGCCATATCTGGTGCGGATCTTCTAATGATACCCTTTCTCTTTTAGACAAGGTGCAAAAACGCATTGTAAACATAGTTGGACCTGCTCTTGCAGCCAACCTTCAACCTCTGTCACATCGTCGTAATGTTGCTTCTCTTTCTCTTTTCTACAAATACTATAATGGGCACTGCTCTAAAGAGCTAGCGTCTTTTGTGCCATCTACTAAAATTCATTCTTGTGTTACTCGTCATTCAATTAAGTCTCATCCTTTTTCTGTTACTGTTCCTAAGTGCTCCAAAAACTCTTATTGGTCTAATTTTTTTCCTCGAACATCAGTTTTTTGGAATTCGCTTCCTTCATCTTGCTTTCCTGATTCATAGAATTTGCAATATTTTAAGTCGTCTGTCAATCGTTATCTTGCTCTACAATCTTCATCTTTTCTCTTCCAGTAACTTCCAACACTAATAAGTGGTTGCTTGCAACCTTGTTGGAAGCGAAGATAATTAAAAAAAATAAATAAATAAATAAATTAATTATAAAAAATTACCTAAATGGAAAAAATAAATAAAAACTTTAAATGGAAAAAATAGATAAAACTTAACTTAACACATTGAAAATTACATTCTTGAAAATTTAAATTACCTTGACAAGACAACATTTGTTTCTCTGCTATCCTCTTTACCCAAAACACTTTTGGAGCCATTTTCTATCTAGGTAGATAAATTATACATACAAAAATTAAACCAAACTTTTTAATTATTATATAGTGATTTTTATTTAAACTTGTCAACAAACATATTTATAACATATTTATCAACAAAAATTATATTCTATAACATATTTTTGATTTCTATTAATTTTTTTACTGCACACGCACATAGGTTTTAACCAGAACAAAAGCAACATTAAGACATTTTTTTACTAATATATTTGAAGACAACATCATTTTTTCTTGAGATAGATTTGTTTCTTTTGAAAATTCAATGTTGTTTTTAGCAACTGAAAAACTTGCTATTTCACTGTGTAAATGGGGAGTTGATATCGATTTTAAAACATCTATAATTCAGTAAAAAAAGATAAACATGATTATTTTAACCAATCATTATTTTACTTTTACAAAAATAGTTAACCTGCTATATTTGGAATAATGTTACATATTCTTTGGCTATTTGAACTCTTCAAATAATGTCTTCCGTATAATTCTTCATCACTAACAACAATATCTTCATCACTTTCACAGAATGCCATCACTGCCTTTCTCCTTTAATATAAACTTAACTTTAAAAACACAAAAAGTCCATGATTTGTGTAATTCTCTATTGCAAAATATACTTTTTTATTAAAAAATAATTTTAGTAAAATTTACTTTTGCTTAGTCCCTTTTTCCTCTTCAGTGTCAGTTTCAATATTCGACGTATCTGCTGCTTTTTCTAAGCGCGACCGAGCTTCTTGATAAAAATCTAAACACAAATTTGTATACGTAAAATCATTTATCAAAATCTAATAAAATATAATTGAAACGTTAATGGCAAAAGCAGGCCCTATGAGAACGAGTTGCAGTCGGTGCGCCACATGAAAATTAATGAACTTTAAGGAAAAACCCATGAAAATTAATAAATTTTTTAGTTCTTAAAAAAAACTTTTTTTAATTGTTGGAAATCTTAATAAAACATTCTAAAGATATTCAGAACATATATTTTAAACAAATGCCCATTGGAATACTGGATATAAATAAGTGGTATAATAACAGAGAATAGTCATAGTGTAAATGGGGCCCAAAAATAAATTTGTACTAGCACATGTTTATCCTCTCCAGTACCCTGGGCAAAACATACACTTCACTATCTAACTCAATTATTTTACATTTTATTATAGTAATATGCAAACCTGTAGTGTATAAAATCCTAGCTGGGTATATTTTCCACTCAGAGGTTGGTACCTGCAAGGTAGTAACACCTTTACGAATTGCAGCGTAACTTTCAAATGGGGGTCAAAAGCATTTCCCATCATTTTTCATCCAACTTTTAGCAATCACTTCCACTTCTTTAATTTTTCCACTTCAAAATTTAACAATAGCAAATGACATTTCAATATTTTGATACAATTTAATTCTAATCAATCTTATATAAGAAAAATTAATGTAAGTTACAAAATAAAATAAAAAATACTTTAGATATAGATCAAAAACAACGAACCTTGTACAAGGCTTTTTAGATTTATTAATGTATAACACCACTGTAAACAATTTACTATTTCTATTAACATAACAGATATTTGTTTCACACAAAAAGTTTATAAATTAAAATGAATTAAACTCACTTTAACATATTCAATGAACTATATATTTGACACATTTATAACAATTTATATTACAAAATGACACATGCTCAAAAATTTTTTTACAAATTTATGGTCTTCAAATATAATCAAAATTTGTCTTTTTTAAATCAAGAAATCAGTGATCACAATGTCTCAACAGAAAAAAAACATAACCACCTTTTTGAATGGGTATCATCAAGCCTTTTTTCAAAAGTTTTTTTTTTTCAGAAAAATTGTTTTTAGGTTGGCTAATGAACTTACATAACAAACATCTAAATAAGATGTTTCAAAACAATCTGGGAAATTTTTTGAACTGAATGAGGATTCTGTGCTTTGCATTTTACAAGGTCAACCAAAACTTTTTCTACTAATTTAAATCCTTTGGACTTTCCCCAAAGTTAATACAATCATTAACTAAATGAATCATGCTGTAAACATTGTATGTCACAAAGATCTCTCCATACAAAATTTGAACTTCTCTAACAAAATATATAAGCAATTGCTTAGCATATGCCACTAACAATTCATTTTTTACCATTTTATCAGAAAGCAGTATGTGCATAGCAAATGAAAGAGAAATAAAAAAATCATAGTTTTATTTTTTTTTCTTTTAAACACAACAGGTCATGCATAAAGTAGAAAGAATCGAAACTCTGTTGCTTTCCACTTCTCAAGTTCATTTAATGAACGTGGTCTGTGTTGAAAACTGGATGGTGTATAACTTCGTAAAGTTATGAGCTCATTTGAAATACAATCTTTAACAGATTGACTTATTCTGATACATCTGGGACCTTTACACCAGTTTATCAGAAGTTTTTTAACTACCCCAAAACATATAATCACTTCGAGAATAAAATCTTTAGTAGTAGTTATCCAAATTATTTGGTTTTCTCTGGCCATACCAAAATGCAACAGCATGTTCTCTTGTTAATTGTAATTAGTATAGGCCAAACAGAAGTCTTTTTACTTTCGTACAAAGGTGCACCATCATTACTTACAATTTCTGGATTCTATTCTCTATCTCTACTGGATTCTATTCTTTATCTCTATAAATCTCAAATCCGGCCTTGGATGGAATACTGTTGCCATATCTGGGGCAGATCTTCTAATGATACCCTTTCTCTTTTAGACAAGGTGCAAAAACGCATTGTAAACATAGTTGGACCTGCTTTTGCAGCCAACCTTCAACCTCTGTCACATCGTTGTAATGTTGCTTCTCTTTCTCTTTTCTACAAATACTATAATGGGCACTGCTCTAAAGAGCTGGCGTCTCTTGTGCCATCTTCTAAAATTCATTCTCGTGTTACTCGTCATTCAATTAAGTCTAATCCTTTTTCTGTTACTGTTCCTAAGTGCTCCAAAAACTCTTTTTCGTCTAATTTTTTTCCTCGAACATCAGTTTTTTGGAATTCGCTTCCTTCATCTTGCTTTCCTGATTCATAGAATTTGCAATATTTTAAGTCGTCTGTCAATCGTTATCTTGCTCTACAATCTTCATCTTTTCTCTTCCAGTAACTTCCAACACTAATAAGTGGTTGCTTGCAACCTTGTTGGAAGCGAAGATAATTAAAAAAAAAAAAATTATATTAAGCTTTTCCTTATTTCCGACTGTTAATATACAATAATCAATTGCACTTTCAACTCCAAGATATATATAATCGCCTCCACTGATATATAAAATATCAACTTTTTAAAGTGATTTTTGTAATGTCTGCCTGCATTTCGGTATGGATGTAGTAAATTTACTTAAGTGATAAAAAAGTGCATTTAAAGTATCATCTTTTATAAAGTATTTCAATGACCACTCAAAAAACCACTTTAAAAAATCTTTTGTTAAAGTTAGAGTATCAATACTACTGGATAAACTATTTCAAACTGCAATGTCATCATTATCACCATAATTAGATTCAGTATTACTTAAAAAAAATTCATTTTCAGGCAAAGTGATTGAAAACATCAACATATTGCTGCACATTTCTTCAGAAACTACATCACTGTGCAAATCTAGATGAATCTAGATGCACACTATTCCTTCTACTAACAATAGTGCACTCTTCAAGAAGATATTTTATTCTTTTTTCAGTTTCTCTTTTTTCTTTCATAAATTCTCTCATGTATAGGCTTCTGTCACGTTTAGGCATTGTAATCTTTATCTTATAACATCACAAAAGATAAAAATAAATAAATTATTGTTCACATACAGAAAAAAATCAATTTAAATAGCATTTTGAACTAAATGATTTGAATCATAGTCACAAACCGAAACTAAATTTAAATCATAGTCAGAAATTAACAGCAATTTGATAAGGCTTATTTTAAAAGCATTGCTGTTATCATAACAAATTAATAATGTTTATGACTGCAAGTATTTTCCTGATAAATTCTGACTGCAAACTTAATTTGTTATGATAATAGTAATGTTATTAAAATAAGCCTTATTAAATTACAGCAATTTTGTGACTTTTGCATGGTAAATTTTATAGAAATTAAAAAACTATCCTAATTTCATAAGGATAATCTTTATTTACGAACTGAAAATACAATTACTTAAAAAAATACATGTTTTTCAATAAAGGTTATATTCATTTCATACCGTAATATAATTAAAATTTGAACAAACATTTTATTACCACTAAAAATAATAGTGAAAAAATCCCAGCAGAACATGCTATTTGCCAAACAAATTACTGTCAGTAAACGGCTAAATAAATTTGATTTTTGCCAACAGTAAATCAACGAACGCTCAGTAAACGTTGATTTGTTGTTGATAAAATTGCCGCTGCAACAACATGCATTTATAGTTAATCGCGGTTGATCGCAAATATCAACGCAATGTCAACGTTGATCAACATCAAATTAACGCTTTATTTTTTAGAGGGTTGTTGACTAGCTCAGAACTAACAATGATAAAATAAATACAGTAAACATTTTGGTCTGTCTAAATATTAACTTATTAATCAACCTATTAACTACAAAGACACAAATAAAGCTTGTAAACATTTTGTCTGTGGGTTCAGTATTGCATATGAAATTAACAACATTTCCAAAGCAAGAGCCAAGCTCAAAAACTTACAAAATTCAAAAAGCCCCCTCAAATCTTCATAGAAAAAACCAAAAACTCTACGAAAACTATTTTTAAAAAATAACTTACAAAATGTACAAAATAATATTGGTAATGATAAAAAAACATCGGATGTAATTAAAGAAGTTATAGGTAAGAAAAAAACTGTTATAGGTAATATCGTCGCAAACCATTTAAATACCGATAACAAAAACATTGTTGTTAATGAAAAAAAAAACTTTATGATAAGTTTTAAAAAAAAAACTTATCAAAACAAAAAAATATAAAACAATACAAAAGTCTATTTAAAAAATAAAAAAAAAAATCGAAAAAAACTATTATTATAATTTATTAGCAAATTATTGCGGTAACGTCAACATCAAAAAAACATGGGGTGTAATAAAAGAAGTAACAGGGAAGGAAAAAAAAGACGCCACCAAAGTGTTCCCGCTGCACTTAAATAGATATTACAGAGAACTTTAATAATTTATTTTATAAAAATTGGGGAAAAACTAGCTTATAAAATAACTCCTGGAAAAAAATATTAGAAAAATGTATCTAGAAAAAAAAGTCAGTCATGAACAAGCTTGAAATAACTTAAGATGAGCTTAAAAATGCATTTAACAGTCCACCACTAGATGACATTAGCGTGAACGTTGTAAAAAATGTCTACGGTATTATTGAAAATCCCCTTCTGGATATCTGTAAAATTAAAAATGGGGTATTCACTAAAGCTAGCTAAAGTTATTCCTATATTTAAAAGCTGAGATGATTCTATTGCTTCTCACTACAGACCTATTTCTATTTTACCATCTATTTTGAAAATATTAGAGCGCATAATGCATATTAGACGTTACAACTATCTGGTTAACCACCACCTGCTAAATAATAACCAATATTTTTTTCAAAAACACCATTCAACAGAACACGGTGTAGCCAAACTTGTCAACAAAAAGCAAGCTTCATAACCGCGCGCGGTTATTAAACTTGTTTTTAACAAGTAATACAAAAACTTTAACTTCAATTCAATTTTTTTAACAACAAAACAACACTTATTTGATTTTGATACAAAGAGATTACAATCTTTTTATTAAATACTTTTGTTAATCTTACTTATTTAATATCATAAATTGACGCAACACTTTTAATTATATTATATGGTACTTAAACGTACGATATTATTTTATTTTATGATTTTTTTTTTTTTTTTTGTTATTTAGGTGCCCCAAGAAGACCAAATCATCAGTCGGAAATCTTTAACAATTAGTTTATAGACATCTTATTGCCAGCTCTGGTCTAAACTTTTATGTTATATTTTTATGTTGTAAAAAAAAAGAAAAAGAATGCTGAAATCTTTAACAAATATTTTATGACATCAGCCAGAAATCTTTAACAATTATTTTATAGACACCAGTCAGAAAAACTTTAACAACTATTTTATAGAAATCAGTCGGAAAACTTTAACAATTATTTTATAGACATCAGTCGGAAATCTTTAACAATTATTATATGACATCAGTCGGAAATTTTTAACAGTTATTTTATAGACATCAGTCGGAAATCTTTAACAATTACTTTACAGACATCAGTCGGAAATCTTTAATAATTATTTAATGACATCAGTCGGAAATCTTTAATAATTATTTAATTACATTAGTCGGAAATCTTTAACAATTATTTAATGACATTAGTCGGAAATCTTTAACAATTATTTAATTACATCAGTCGAAAA